AGAAAATATATAATTATAATACATATACTCACGAGATTAAAATATCTTAAAAACATATAGGTAAAATCCTCTTATCTTCAAGTTAAGTAATATGTTATTCATTAGAAAAAAAAATGAATGGAAGGTTGGTTATTTCTAATATTAAAGTTAATAACATAAAATTGGTTCTTCTGAATGCAAATTTACTATATTGTATGTGGGTCAGACAGGGCAAACAAATAGTACACAGACATCATATTATTAAAGTGTTTTATAATAAGAACTTGATTCACATGGTAGTATAATTAAATGTAGACAAAATGTGTGACTTATTAAAACTTTAAATTATTATTATTGCATAAATTTCAGAAAATAAAACAATCAAACAATAAAGCAACATTTTATTAAAGTAGCTATTTTTATGAAATGCATTTTTCAGTTTACATTATCTTTAWAATTTAWTTTAAATGTAGGCCACATTTAGTGATAACAAATATGTTAATCTATCTACAATAAAATTGTATATATTCATTTCATTGCTTGTTTAGAAACTTACTAAAACAACAACAAAATATACTAACATCTAAAATGGATATAATATAATACTGATTACCAATGGTATTAAGATAATTTTTATACTTAATAATGGACTGATTTATCTTTCATTACTTTGTTACTAAATAATAATAACTAAATATTATATATTATGTTGTATATTTAAATTGAAAGCCACTTAAACAAAAATTATTTCATTTTATTCTTTGTAAAATATATTTTATAAATATTATTATTATTTTCTGAATATTATTGTCAAAATAATATCAAATTGCTTCAATTATTTTATTTCTTACATTGTCATACTTGAGTCATGCAATCAGTTTAAAGCTTTGAATTAAAAAAAAAAAAGGATAAAGTATAATATTTAAATGAAGGTACCATTGTTGGTATCTTTTAAAACAATTAATATATTATTAGAGATGTTAAGAAAAACGACTGACATATAATTGTAGGTTATGTTTGTAAATTATCTATTTAATCTAAAGATAAATTTTATTTATATCTACCAATAAAAATTTACTATAAAAATTTTTATAATATGATTTATTTGAATTGTTATATTTACATGTGATTTTAAACACATACATTTAAAAGCAATCTAAAAAACTATTATATTTAAATCTTATATTTCATTGGCAATTTAATACATTAATAAAATTATTATACCTAAATAWAAAATTTCCTGGAAAAATTAGTTTAAAATGTTTAAATGTACTATATATACATACGAAACAATACAAAATTATAACATTTAATTATTGTACTTATTAATATTTTATTACTATACCAATAGAAAAACAATTAATTTAAAACATGTATGTAAAAACATTTAGTTGTGTTCAATTGAACATTAATTATGAATTATTTATTATAATGTATAAATATTTTTGCTGTTAAGTTTTATTGCTAAATATAATCATGTTTATGTTATGTTTAATAATAGATATTGTGAATAAATTGAGTTGATGTTTCTCCTATACATAATATTATAGTTGTTGTTATACTATTGAATTATTATATGACTTGTAGATCTTAAATAACAATAAATGTTTTTATCACAATAACCAGAAAACAAAAAATTTGTTGAAAATTCTTAAAAGGTTGACTGCCTTATTCTGTACATGGTTATGTTTAGAAATATATATATACAAAGAACGCAAAGGTAAATATTAGATTTATGATTTATATACTAATATATTAATATTAGATATGTTTGTWATGTAATAAACAACAAAATCACTTTTAAGTTCAATAAAATCGAAGTTCTCTTAAATATAGTACTTACCAATCTACAACGAGTGATATTCCATTGATCTCTTGGTATTRTTATTTGTTTATTCAAATGTATTTTAAATATATTTCGAAGTTCCCTCAAATCTAGAATAACAGTATCAATATTACAACAAGTTGGTACTTTAGTATCTAGGTAACTAATAATAGTGTGCTCAGATAAGATTGTAGTCAGTATTTGAATAAATGTTTTTGTATATCCCAATGAGCTGCAAAATCAATTCAATTAAAATTTAATATATTTTATTTTATACACATCAGTATTTAAAAAAATAAAAAACATACTCTGAATAAACTTTAAGAATATACTCTAAAGGTGATACTGGATCTAAATAGCATACAATTRTTCTTAACCATGATAAAGAACTATGAACAAACCATTCATGTTTTACATCAAACTTAAAATTGTCCRTAATCATATTTTTTAGATCTTTAAGACACATGGTACTCTTAATTTGATAACTTGAGACCAATTTAGTGCAACGTAAAGTCACCAAATCTTCAACTACAACAAAATATATGCAGTAACGTTAATTGAAAAAGAATTAAATAAATGAGTCAATATAAATTTAAAAAAAGCTCTGTGGAACAGATTAGATTAATTATAAAGATTTACATGATTTTAATTTGTCTAAAACATTAATACATTTAACTATGATTTAAGAAAGTACTATGTTAAATCATATGTTTTACTAATWAGTAATTACTATTAAAAGCCAAAATCGAATATTAAATATAACTTCAAAATTAACAATATTAGAATAATAAAAAAATCTACATTTTGCTATTTTA